TACTTGTTGATCGTGTTGGGTGAGTTCTTTTGTGGGTTCTAAGATACTAGTACCTCTCGAATTGTTAGGCGAGTTTCTCTCATAGACACCTCTTGATGGCGAGTTCTTTTGTCATGACCCGCTGACTAGCTGTAAATAACTATGAAAGCATATTTGAGTATATCAGATGAGCCTGTATTAAATTAATATATCCACTTCCAAATGAATACCAAAAATAGAATATAATCTTTACCAAGTAAAACGAGTTGAATCTAACCAAACAAATAATGACTATGTCTAAATAGTTAATCATTCAAATAACATGAATGATTTTTAAAACAAAATTAAGTAATTCATAATATAATTATTTAAATAAAAAATAATATCATTCTCTCGACCAGTAATACATAATAGCGAATTAAATGAAAGTGATATTTTTATTATGCGGATAATATAGTAGATGAAAATAACCATTTGTATTTAAAAGATGAAAATCATTTAAGAAAAAAAAAAAAGCTTCAAACTGAAATAACCTAAATGGAATAATCATTGTCACTGTAAATAGAACTCCTTTGTCTCTCTCCAAATGTTTAAAAGCCAGCTTGAAGAAAGCGGTGAGAAAGAAACGGTTTTCATAATAAAAAAGCTCCCATTAGACTGATTAAATTTTATATATCTCTTCATCTTTTATATTAGTAAACATAATAAAAAAAGTCTCATTTAGAATAACTTTCTTACTATTTTTTGAAGTAGTATGTATTTTAATACATAAATTATTTGAATTAAAATTTTTTTAATAAAAAATTGCTTTGAAAAACAATAAAAAAACTATTTCAAATAAAGCTTAAGCATTACTTAGCTGTTTATGTGATATTTATGTGCCAACAATTATTATAAATTAATTTAGGATATATATAATTTTAATTTTATCTTAAATTTATTTTTTTAAATTTGTTTTTTAACTATTATGAATTTTAGCAAATCTATAGTATTATAAGTTTTAAAAATTTTGAATAATTACATTAAAGTTGATTACTAGAAACAGTAAAGAACCATATCATGTGGTCCACAGTTCTAGGCTGGTTAAGAAGGGACGGTTGTGATGTCATTTAGGCTTGGCTTGTCATAGTTTTTTTGTCATTGCTTTTTTCATTGTTTTTAATTTTTTTTTTATTAAAAAATTACTATAGAAAATAGTTAAAAAACTATATTAAACGAAGCCTTGAAGACACGGCTATGGACAGTCTTAAGTTTCATTTTAGACATCTTTTTTATTGCTTTATAGGACAATTTTTTACTATAAAAATTTTTACTTGAAAAAATGTTTTGTAATAAAAAGCTTTTTTTAAAAAATAATAAGAAAATCGTCTTAAACTATGACTTCGTTTGTGATAACTTACTTACAGTATTCTAAAGAAGCTTTCTAGAAACTTTTTGTACTAAAAAGTAGAAGTGTCAATATTTGACACGACCAGAAAACCCGGCTCGAACTAGAAATTTTTGGTTCGGGTTCGGGCTTTCGACCCATTTTAAAAATCGGGTCGGGTTTGTGTTGAATCGGAAACCAATGAATGACCTGTAATAACTAGCACAGCATGCGCTGACTTTGCCTGATCGGAACTGCCTGAGTCACGTCTCAAGACGCATCCCGAGGTGGCGGGGCCAATCCGCATAATGTCCTTGCTATCCCGCGTCGTTGAACCGTTTGCCTGCCATCCCCGATGTCCCAAGTACCAAGTTGTCGGCTGCGACTGTGCTAGTTATCGGACCGCCGCCGCCGACCTTTCGCTATCGGCGTTGTCTTGTCCGCATGTCAGATTGGGTTGACCCGAATCCGAAGTGAGTTGGGCTCGGATTGAGCCGAATAATGCCGGGTCAGTTCCGGGTTCGACCTGTGACCCAAAATTGACACCCATACTAAAAAGCTTCTTTATATTGTAATAAAAAATTTGTCACAAATGAAGTCTAAGCCTTAATGGGAAGTAGAATCTCCTTGTGAAGAAATTAGGTTTTGTTTGGAATAACTTTAAGAAGCAGTAAGAAAGCCGCCCCAAACAAAGCCTTAGTTTACGAGGATTTTCAACCCATGGTAAATTGATGGTTGGAAGCTCGAGCGTCAATTTGATCCTCTGTGTTTATGTGGAGAATAAAGATGAATTTTGATTCATTCAAGCGAGGAATATTTGGTTGTTGGCCAGAGTTGATAGTGTCGATAGACTTTGTTCATTAGGCAGATTTTTAAAAGGATCACAAATCACAATATATTTTAAATTAAGCACACAAAACTTAATATTATTTTTAGTCATTATGTCTTAATAGCTTGATAAAGTCTTAATTAATAAATGAATGATATGTTATCGGATAAATTTTAATAAGAATCATGTATTAATTTTAATTAAGCAGAAGAAGCACAGCTAAATTTTAATATTTCTGAAGAATAAAATTTTAATTCATAAAAGTGACCTCTAGCTGTATGTCTTTTTTATAAAAACCTAATTATTTTCTAAGAGTAGTTATATGTTTTACTCGATCCCTCTCTATTCTTATCATTAAGAAGGATGTCATTAGCAAAAAAACTCATACAACAAGAGTTAAACATATAACTATTATTAATTTTAATTATTAAATTTAAAAAATAAATTCAATTTGATAATTATAACTATATTTAATATTATATTGCATATAAAATAATATTGAATATTATAATTATAAATATATATCATATTGTATTAAAAAAATACTATATTATTTTAATTTATTTTTTATTTCTATAATTCTATTAGGTATTTATTCTGTTAAATTTATTATTTTTATTTAATAATACCTTAAATAATCCACTTTTTATATTAAATATTATTAAGAAATTAAATATTCCACACATGAGTGGCATGAATGTAATATTGAAGTTTTGACTGTTAGATATGTAAATAGTATGAAATAAAGTGGTATGTATGTAAATCCCCTAAAAAAATCTCCTAGAATGTGGCAATCAAAGACTTCCTCCTAG